ACTGAAGAACCCTTATCATTATTTAAATTAGTTTTCAAGTTGTGACCATTTGAAATGGTGTTTTTACAATTTTCCCATAGACTTCTATAGTAAACCCTATGTTCTATTTTTAGCCATGGCGGTCATATATTGGTTGGATGACAGGGTCATCGGATACATTTTTCAATCAAGATATCCTATTAAAAATTAATTGTGACTAAGTTTAATTCTATTTGGCACAGTAGATTAAGTGGAGAAGTTTTTGTAAAAGATTACATAAATTTACGAAAAATTGTTAAAAATTGACTACAAAAGGGCAATAACTCCTTAAGGGATCAATTGACAATTTTGGTAATATTGTCCTATTTGTAGATCGTACTTTGCTGAAATAACTGCTGTTTACAGCTCTATCTATAATAATATTTAAGATAATATCCAAAAACTGCAAAATTTCCTTAAAATTACCAATTCAGGGGCAGCAACCCAACAACGGGTTGTTTGATTCGTCTGAAAATTTCAGGGCAGATAGATCTATACCTGATAAACATTTTAAGCCCACGTCAGATTTCCTCTAAATGCTTTAGTGTCAGAGATATAAGCCAAAAACTGCATTTTACCCCCTATGTTCTATTTTAGCCATGTCGGCCATGTTGGTTGGCATGCGGGGTCATCAGATACATTTTTAAAAACTAAATACCCTAATGATGATTGTGGCCAAGTTTGGTTAAATTTGTCTCAGTAGTTTCAGAGGAGAATACTTTTGTAAAAGTTAACGGACGACGACGGACGATGGAAATAATCATTGACCAATGAGAAATTTAAATGTCAAGCCCCGCTGGTCCTGGGTTTAAAAAAGTATACCAAAGTACCGCTAGTTATTACTAAGAGAAATTCGAACACCAGACTAAGATAAAATTTATAGTGCCATGAGAAAAGTTGTGTCAATGTTTTGACCTTAGGATCAGGATTATGATCTACTAATTAAAATTATATTTTTAAACAATACGAAATTTCTTCCTTTGTAGATACTAAATCTTGCTATACTCATCATGAATAAAATTTGAGAAATAAATGAATTACATAGACCACTCGACCGCTTAGGACCCTTATAGTTTCCAGGAAAAGAGATAATTTGATTGAAGAATACAAAGAATCCCTGTTTTAGTCATCGTATGTGGGACTACTTGAAGAGTTTTAGTTTAATAGGTCGAGACCACTAGAATTCTGCCGTCAGAGTGTATTTGTAAAATTTATTCCCCGGACTTTGTTTCCTAGGTATTAAATCCATGACCATAATTTTACTAGAAAAGTAAGTACCAGGATAAATTTTCCTAGGAAAATAAGTCCATAGCTAGTAAATATGTCTGGCTAGTATTTCAAGAGTCCTAGGAAATTTTGAAATTTTTATCTATCTCTTCTGAAAATGACTTAATTGTAAAAATATAAAATATTTGAATAATGGAAAAATCTGATTTCCTAGTTATAAAAGTCTGTGTTTTCAATTTTTTTCTGGAAAAAAATCGCTTAAAATTTCAATTTTTAAACATTTCTTAATATTAATTCAAATTTGTATTATTATTTCTATATCATTATAAGTCTGTGATACTCAATTTTTCTATGAAAAAAGTCCAGTGTAATTATTTAATAAAAACAATCATCTTTTAATAAAATACTGAAAGATTAATGTACAACTTTTTAAAAAATATTGCAACATAACAGTTAAATATTCCATAGTTTGCATCTGATATTTTCAAGTATATAGAATATTCCTATTAAAAATAAAGGACATGGACATTTTTACCTAGGAATATTAAGCACATGGACTTAAATTACTAGGAAAATTTATCCGTGGACATATATTACTGAAATCGGACTAACATTACTAGTATATGCTGTAACCATGGACGTTTTATACTAGCAATTTGTGGCCACTCGTACCCATTTTACCAGGACTAATTTATCTCTTACATATTTTGCATAGTAATTTCCCAAATACAAAATATAAAATATATGACCCGGCAAAGAAATTGACCAATCGACAGGATGAAAAATAATGCATTCTGAGCGACTACGATTAAATACTATCATTTAACACGCTTAAGAACACGTGGAGTTTAATTGAAAAGTTTTCATTTTGTATTGTATCTCGGAGTCTCATGTTTATTTTTATTTTTTTTTGTCTGACATCCCCGCTGAACTATTATTGTATACGTAATGTACATGTACTATACCATATCTGCATACTCGGGTTTAAAAAAATATTGTACGTTCACCGTACTAAATTGTAGCTAATGAACTTTGTAGTTTCTTTATATAGTTAAAGATATCATAGGTGATATAATGCTATGAATGTTTAAAGAAACGGAAGATTACGATTTCAACAAGAAGTTTGTACGGAATTAAAACTGAACTCACCTGCACGGTCCAATTTTAGAATCCGGGTCCGTTCGCCCTGATTCCGGTTCGCCCTAGTACCTGTTCGCCCTGAGACCGTTCGCCTTAATACCTGTTCGCCCTGAGTCCGTTCGCCCTGATTTTTATTTAAGAGCCCCCCCCCCTGTTATTATGTTGCATTGTTTGTATATATTTGAATATGTTAAAGTGTATCTGCAATTTCGCCGAATATTTATTTATGATGTATTATGGTTGACTTGCTGCTACCAGGAAATAAGTTTCCGTGAATTTCAGGACTACAAGGTATTTAAAACAACTGAAAACTAAGTTATCTGTATGTATTTGAATATGTTGAAGTCTGTCTACAATTTTGCCGAATATTATGTTGTATTATTGTTGTCTAGCTGCTACCAGGAACAAGTTTTTGTGAATTTCAGGACCTCAACGTATTTAATATCAAACGACTGAAGACTAAGTTATCTGTATGTATTTGAATATGTTGAAGTCTTTCTACAATTTCGCCGAGTATTTATTTATGTTGTATTATTGTTGTCTAGCTGCTACCAGTGCCACATAATCTATGCTGCCATCTATCACATACGTCACACGATACTGCATGTTGACGAGGTCGGACCTCTCTGTCACACGAAATACACATGTATTTTTTTTAATTTTTTTTTTTTAGGTCAAAAAAGGGGATTGAGCTTATTTCGCCCCTTTAACACAAAGTATAACAAATGGGAATTTAACAGGTCTTGGGGCTTATCTCGCCCTTTATTTTAAACTAATTTTAACTTGTATTTGTTTGCAATTGTCACTATTGCTTGCAAAGCCATCCTTTCTTGACTGAATAGAAAGTTCTTGCTGTTCCTAACATCAAGCCAAGTGTCAAAACTTCTTTTGATGTATTGGTACGTGTCTTTGTAGATGAAGTCGTGCAACTCCAAAGTATCGCTATTGACGAGCAGATACAAGTCGTTGTCGACAATATCCATCACATACATAGTTTGAGGAAGATCCAAGCATACTTTCTTCACCTTTAGTCCTTTGGTGTAGCTTCGAGCGTCTAGTTGTCTCTTTTTTCTCTCTTTCTGTAGAGTTTTATCCACTTCAGATCGACCCTCGACACCCTGTCGGGCGGGATCTACTTCTGTAGTCGTTCTTTTCTTTTTCTCTTCAGCTATAGTCTGTTTTGCTGATAGATTACTGTCTATTTGCGAGATAGGTGTACCGGTTTCCATATCATCATTGATGGCTGGTGTAGGTAACTCCTTTGTCTCGACAACTGGGGGTGGTGCGGTATGTACTTGCTCCTCGGTGTTTATTGTCGGTTCACCAGACTCTTGTTGTTTTCGAAGGAGGAAGGCTTGTAGTCGACGGCGATTCCAGTCTTGACGCGCTTTTGATGACCTCTTTTTCGTGATTGTAGGCTTTTGTGATGTTTGTCGCCATTTTATCTGCATGGAGTATCTTCCATTCCGTTTAGTTAAAGTCCAATCGGCGGGTTGATTCTCTACGAGTGATAGAACTGCTGTAATCTCCTCTGGTAGTTGGTCGGAAGTTTCCATTCTCAACTCATCAGTTTATGATTTAAGTATTCGACATTTTATTCACCTGGGTCTACAGGACATATAGTAAACACGTCCGTCCAGGTGAAAATCTACTCACTCTAACTCGAAATACACATTTTATAAAAGGTAATTTGTGGGTGGGGCTTATCTCGCCCTTTATTTTATAACACTAAGTTGTATTTCTGGCATAGTTCTTGCATGTCATCTTTTCTACTTTCGCTAAAGAGAAAGTTCTTTTTGTCTCTAATGTCTGGCCAGGTATTGAAGCTTTTACTGATTTCGGCGTAAAATTCAGGATTTTTTTCTTTTTGACGTCTTTGTATGCCTGTAATGTGTCTGAAAACACCAGGACATACATGTCTTTTCTCTTCAACTTCAGTATGTAAGTACTCTGTGGATGGTCGAAAACTATCTTTTCTACCTCATGGCTTTCTCGAAATACACATGTACTGTACCATAGTTTATGGAAAAATGCAGCGGTTTTAAAACACACTTGAGATCAAAGAAGCCAAGCTGCGAAAATAAGCTCCCTTTCATGCCTTACAATTTGTACATCAGTGTTTTACCCATCCAAGCTGACTATTTTATTTGAGAAAAATGTTATTTTCATTATTAATCCACCAAAGACAATTCATACAACAATCAGTGATATCAAAGACAGCAAATTATACCTAATCAGCAATCAAAATTCAATCAACAGTAAAAGTAATTATAAATTTTAAAAAAAAGTGTAACAATGCAGCCAAGAATTTAGATTAATATAAATTTTGCAAATATTCTGTATTTAACTTTTGATAGATATACATAAATTTTGATAAATATATATAAATTATAATAAATATATATTTTCGTTCATAAATGTAACATATACATTTCCTAAATAAAAATAGGGCGAACGGACTATCAGGGCGAACGGACCTAGGGCGAACGGACCCGATACCCCAAATTTAGAATCAATTTTGTGAATGGTGTAAGCAAAGATTTTTTTTGCTGTAAAGGAAAATGACATATCAAATGGACCAAGGATTTAAAATAGATAGTCGAATATATTTGGAATACTGATAGACATCATTTGCATTGCTTTGTTAAAAAAAACAGCAAACGTTACAAATTATTTTTCACAGACACAAGCGGCTTATTGACCTCCAAATTTCCAAAATGTTGTCGACTGTTGGGAGGGCCTTGCGAAATTCTTCTACACCGAAAACAGTATGTATAAGCAAATACAATTTCTATTGAGATTAAACATGGTATTGCTGAATAGAAAATCAAGTGTTAAATAGTCTAATACTATATTCAGATGGCTCTCTCGTTTTTTAATGCCTTTTATTTTTTTCAATATTTCAATAAATTAGAATTTTGGAAGTGTAATTGTACGAATTCCAGATTTGAGATCTGAAAACTAAAACTGTACATCACATAGATGACTAGCTAGTTATTCGCACTCTTGGGGGGGGGTGGGGGGGGGGGGATTTGCTCAGGTTTCTTTTGAGATTCTGTGCCCAGAGCGACTTTCTGCTTGACTGCCATCAGAAGTTGATTCTATTCAGAGTTCGCGAAAACTTATTTTGACCCGTCAGTCATGGGACCGACAAAGCATGATTATCTGTCAGTCCTACAAAATTTTAGCCAGTCCTACAAAATCTGTCAATTTTATCCTGAAATAAAATTAAAAACATATTTTATCGAAAAATAACTTTATTAATATTAGTTTTATTCATCGCACCCACAGGCAAATTAACAATGAAGGACCAGTTCAGGTCTTCTGATTGTTCTTATTTAAAGTCATCTTCACTATCCATTTCATCATCTGAATCACTTTCTCGGCTGTTACAGTATTTGTTTGCTCCATTGTAGGGTTCAATCGCCGATTGTTTGCCAGGGATGGCTCTATGAACAAATTTAGTAGGCCACGTGTAGATCTCCGCTTTGGTTTGTTTATAATAAATCCGTAAACCAGTACCGGAAATTGGCAGCGGGTACATCTGATAACCGATGTACATGTAAACACTTATTGGAAACAGTTGCGATACATCTAATAACCGATGTAAAAAAGTGTCGAAATATGCACTACAACGGCTGTTTTTACATCGGTCATCGGGACCGACACTAGCCTTCAAAATACTGGTCCGAGCCTCATTTTGACCGACAGGACCGACCATTTTCGCGAACTCTGTCTAATTAACAAGTGATAATAGTTTGATTAAATTATACTGGCATTGGTAGAAAAGTGGATTGATTTTGTCAAAACATTGATCGGAAGGTTTTGATGCAAATTTTTTTTTAATAAACTTTCAACTCAGCAAAGAAATACTAGCTATTTAACAGTCCTATGCAGACATTAAAGACCTTCAGCATGCTCAATTTGATCCAAGGACAAGGACTACATGTACTTTAGTACAGAGTCAAGTGTATTATAGGCCGCTTCATTGTACTTCTTAGAAAAACCCAGTGTGCCAAGACCAGTGCTTTAGTTATTAAATAACATTTGTCCATGTAATATAGACAGTGCTTTACCTAATATATTTTTCAGTGTTTGAAACAATGAGTCTTAAGTTTTGTAGCAAAATGACTTTCTTAATGCTTAAAACCCATGCATAACTATAAATGTTATGTTTGTTAGTTTTTCATCTATTCATCACATTATAAATATATAGCAAATATTTTTTCATAAATTATGCCTATGATATTGTATACAAATAAAACAGATGGAAGCATGAATAAAACACTTTACTTTAATATCTCTAATTAAGGCCAAATAATATGTGTGGTTCCAGTTACCCGACCGACCCTAGTCAAACCCCCCGTCCCCCCCCCCCTCCCGACCCTTTTTTATACGCCCGTCAAAATTTTGACGGGACGTATTATGGTATACAAAGTATACAAATGTCATCTGTCCGTCCGTCTGTCTGTCCGGCGTAAACATGTCGCACCGTAATTTGAAAACAACTTATCCAAATTTCATGAAACTTAACATAGTTGTTTCTTATGATGGTCAAACGATCTGTATACCTTTTGGTGAAAATAAGATTAAAACTTTTTGAGCTACGGGACTTAGTAACTAAAACAGGTGTGTGTTTTTTTTCACATGTTGCGCCGTATCTCAAAAACAATTTATGATTATTGCTTAAAACTTTACACACTTCTTAGTTATATTAATCTTTAGATCTGTATACTTTTTGGTGACGATTCAAAATTTTATTTTAGAGATATTGAGTATTTTGTTAAAAAAGGGGGAGTGGTTTTTCACATGTCGCGCCGTATCACAAAAACAGTTTATGATTATTGCTTAAAACTTTACACACTTCTTAGTTATATTACTCTTAAGATCTGTATACTTTTTGGTGATGATTCAAAATTTTATTTTTGAGTTATTGAGTATTTTGTAAAAAAAAGGGGGAGGGGTTTTTCACATGTCGCGCCGTATCTCAAAAACGATTTATGATTATTGCTTAAAATTTTACACACTTCTTAGTTAAATTAATCTAAAGATCTGTATACTTTTTGGTTTTGATTCAAAATTTATTTTTGAGATATTGATTTTTTTTTTTTAAAAGGGGGGGGTTTTCACATGTTGCGACGTATCTCAAAAACGATTTATGATAATTGCTTAAAATTTACACACTTCTTAGTTATATTAATCTTAAGATCTGTATACTTTTTGGTTTTGAATCAAAATTTTATTTTAGAGATATTGAGTTTTTTGTAAAAAAAAGGGGGTTTTCGCATGTCAGGCCGTATGTCAGAAACTATTTATGATTATTGCATAAAAATTCACACACAAGATGACGGGCGTATCATGCGCTCATGGCACAGCTGTTTATTTTTTTGTGGAATGTGAATTTCAATAATTAAATATACAGACTTCTGTCATCTGAATTTCCATTAGAAGTATCCACTATGGCTAAAATGCTACACATTCTTAACAGAATTCAACAAAATTAACTAAAAATGTAACATATCTGTTTATTTTACAACCAAACATATAGAAAATGGTGAATTTCTGGCATGTCTGGTATGGACGTGTATAATACCGGAATCCTACTCGATGAACACATTATTTTTTTCTGGATTTTGACAATCCAAAAAAAAAAATTGCCAACCAACCGACCCTAATTTTTTTTCAGGATGTAACTGGAACCACACATATACTTTTATTAGGCCTATGTACTCAAAGGAAAGGTTAAACCATATGCATAGTACTTTATTTAAAGGTAGTAGACAAACAATAATACAAAAAAAAACAAGGAACAGAAGCTTCTCAATATTTCTTTCAAGTGATCATATCATCCAAATAGAAAGGCTACAAGGGTACTGTAAACACATTACATTCAGATTGAAGAATAGAAGAAAAACACTTTAAAAGACAATTTTTACATCAGATGGTTACATTTACGACAAAATTTATGTTGATAAAAAACCCTCTGATCTGAGGTCTAAACTCCTGACCAAAATTTCCCAATCTCCTGATCTGAGTTTCACAGTCCACCACATGTACATGTATGCACCTCAACCCTGTGTTTTATGCCTACAGCACCATTCCCTACAACTGAAGCAGGTAGTAGTTGAATAGAATAAGCATTATCTTTTCAGAATCTTAAAATTTTGAAAATACCTTACCTTGAAAGATAGTTATAGATCCAATACACCATTTAGTTCACATTTCAAGTTCTTGTCACACGATCTGTACTGTAATGGGCAGAAATTTTCCAAAAGTTTTCAACAAATAGATTTACCATTGCCATTGACTAGCACTATCTGGAGAATAGGATTTGTCCTTCATGATTTTTGTCGAGCCTGCAACTTTTGTCGCAAGTCAAGACATAGTGATCCTACATTCCGTCGACGGCGTCCACAAATATTCACTCTGTCATGTCTGTGGTTAAAGTTTTTGAAATTTTGATAACTTTCTTAAACTATCCTGGATTTGTACCATACTTGGACAGAAGCTTGTTTATGATCATAAGAAAGTATCCAGAAGTAAATTTTGTAAAAAAAAATCCTGTTTTTCCGTATTTTACTTATAAATGGACTTAGTTTTTCTGCCAGTTAACATTACATTCACTCTGTGGTTAAAGTTTTAAAAATTTTAATAACTTTCTTAAACTATCCTGGATTTGTACCAAACTTGGACAGAAGTTTGTTTATGATCAAAAGCTAGTATCTAGAAGAAGATTTTGTAAAAATTTATTTCCTGTTTTTCTGTATATATAACTTATAAATGGACTTAGTTTTTCTTCCAGTTAACATTACATACAGTCTATAGTTAAAGTTTTTAAAACATTTATTAGATTCATAAACCATTCTGGATTTTTACAAAACTTGGACAAAAGCTTCTTACAATCAAAAGATAGTATCTATAGGAAAATTTTTAATAATTTTTTCCCCATTTTTGTTGAGCCTGTGACTAGCAGCAAAAGTAGGCGAGACACTGTAGCGGTGGGGGCATTAAGTTTTACCCTTGTCTGTCTGTATGTACGTACGTACGTCCCAAAATTGGTTTCCGTTCTCTAACTTGAGTTTGCCTCAACCAAATGTTATGAAACTTCTACACAGTGCTTATTACCACAAAACACAGATCAAGTTTGAATTTTGGTGGTGTCACTTTAACTGTTCTAGAGTTATGCCCCTTTATAAATGGAAAAATTGCAAAATTTTTAGTTTCCGTTCTCTAACATAAGTTTGCCTCAACCAAATGTTATGAAACTTACAAACAATGCTTATTACCACAAAATACAGATCAAGTTTGAATTTTGGTGGTGTCACTTTAACCGTTCTAGAGTTATGCCCCTTTATAAATGGAAAAATTGCAAAATTTTTATTTTCTTCTTAATATCAAGTAATTTTTTTAATTGGAGTTATCTTCCTTTGTCCATGATTATAGTTGAATCAACTACAATCAATGCTTTATACAATGCAATGTTTAATTTTGACTTCCACTGTTAAACTCAGATCAAGTTGAATTTGGGTAGTGTCACTTTAACCATTATTGAGTTATGCCCCTTTATAAATCAAAAGATTGCAAAAGTTTAGTTTAAATTCTGTAACTTATGTTTGCCCCAACCAAACATTATGAAACCTATACACAATATTCATTACCACAAATTTAAAATCAAGTACAAATTTTTTGTTTCCATTTTCTAACTTTAGTTTGCCTCAACCAAATGTTATGAAACTTTAAATTATACACAATGCTTAGTACTACATAATACAGATTAAGTACGAAATTTGGTGAGAACACTTTTACCATTCTTGAGTTATGTCCCTTTATAAACATAAAAATTGATGAATTTTTTGTTTCCGTTCTCTAACTTTAGTTTGTCTCAACCAAATGTTATAAAACTTATACACAACCGTTCTAGAGTTATGCGTGTTTACAAATAGAAAAATTGCTGAATTTTTAGTTTCTGTTCTCTACTTAAGTTAGCCTCAACCAAATGTTATGAGACTTACACACAATGCTTATTACCAAAAAACTCAGATCAAGTTCAAATTTGAGTAGCATCACTTTTACCGTTCTTCAGTTATGTCCCTTTATAACTATATGCTATGCAAGCGGGGGCATCATCTGTGGACACTATCCACATTTTTTCATTTAGTTTTTCTTATTCATATTAAAGAAATTTCCCAGGGCAGAGACCAAACAATATATAGTCATCTACAGAACGATAAAATAATATTATAAATTTCAACAGGAATGGGGGTGAATGGCCCCTGATTAATACTTTATATAAAATTACTGATTATTCTCATGTCAGCAGAAATATAACCATTACAGATTGAGATTTTTTTTTTATTAATTAGGGACAAGAAATGACTTGAAGTGTCAGGGTTAACAGAAAGTACTAAATATATATATTTGCTCAAACACCTTTGTTGTACTGCCGAGTCGGCATGTAGTTTGGGCAGTACAAGAGTCAAATACCACATCAACACCCTACTCTTCTGATTGACAATTTTTGTCAAATTTGGATCAATATTTAAGGTGGTACATAAGCAGTCAGGGGACTTACTTAAATGAGTGATTTTTAAATCACTGATTCAAGTAACATTTTGTCCTCAAATGTTGGAAGTAAGAGTTGTCTTTCTTCAATAATCACCTACTGTAAATTCAGAAATTATTGCGAGGTTTTTATTAATGCGAATAATGCGACTAGATGAGTATCGCAAAAATAAGAACTCGCATTTTGATAACTAAAACATAGATCTGTATGTAGATTTTTCTGAAATCGCAATAATTAAACTCGCATTCTTGTCAATTTTTGAAAAATCGCAATAATTTCTGTATTTACAGTATTTAAGTAGTACATGTACAAACATTTGACAAATGAATCACTAGACTAAGTGATTTAATTTGATTGTAGCTTTAAATATACAATACTAATATAATGATCCAGGGGCTTATTATGTTGCTAAAATTATCAGAACCAACATCTGTGTTAATAGGATGACCAGTCATGTCAGGTGATGACCTTGTACTGAAACTGGGATAATGACATGAAAATCACTTGTTTAAGTATCATACCTCTATTTTCTTCCAAAAAAACATCTTTAAGTATTATTATTTTAATTACCCCACTAATTTCAACACCCCCGAACAGTGAAATTTTGATCGCGAACAGCAAAATTTTATTACATAATCATGGTAATCTGTAAGATGCAGCCTTGAATTTTACAGGAAAATTACTCCCACTGCTGGGAAAAATCTGTTAAGAAAGTATCAGTTCATTATAATGTAAAGCCTTCATTATAGCAATTTTTTCAACAAATATAGAATGTACAGCTAAATGATCGATGATTGCAGCAAAGGCATAAACCTTGCTATTTAAAAGAAGAAAAAGGTTCATTTTTTCCAATTTTACTAATAATAAGATATAATCTAAACCTATATGTTTAAAATTTTGGTAAAATTACAAAATCACAATTTGTGACAAAATTTCGAATTAGCTACTTAAATAAGTAATTTTATAAATCACTTATTTCAGTAATTCCCCTGACTGATAACACTATAGGGAGATAACTCTGTAAAAATCAGCTGAACGTTTTAATCGTGTATTATTGTTAAGGGTATATCAAGCTTCTCAATGATCAAAATGTGTTTATCAAAACTGCAAACTGCTATATATCCAATGAAATTTTTCCGATGAAGTCATTTTTGTAAAGTGTGTGGTTCAAGTTTTTTGAAATTTTTATATTTTTGTCAGAGGGTCAAAGTAAATATTTTGTCAAAATTTTATGAAAAATTAAATGAGACAAATTAATTTCAGTCAAGGTGTTTGGTACCACCTTAAGCAAACAAAAAGATTGAAGATATGATGTGATGATTTTGTTTGACACCAGAAACAGACTTATAAATTATGTCATAAAGACATGAAAGCCAAGAACAATGTTTCACAGAAAGTTATTTCAATATTATATTTACCATTTAGGCATTATAAGAGAAAATATGATTGTGAAGACTGAATTACATGCATTGTATAAGCTGTTTAAAATTAAACTTGCAAAGTCGAAATAGATCCAAACTTTGAACCAGTCAACCTGGACATATTGAATAAGTATCTAATTTGTTTGTCGTGTTTATCATTTATCATTTATTTTGCTTAACTATCATGCATATTACTGTAGGAATATTCTGTTTATTTTTTAGCTATTTGTTGGGGCAAGATGTGCATCAAATGAGGCAACATTTGAAGTGGCAGTAAGTTAATTTTTGCATTTTCTTGCAATTAAGTTCAGATTCTCTATTTCTTACCACTAACAGTAGGCAATCTACCTATGTTTACTCAAATTTTCCGGATAATTTCATTTATTTTTTTTACAAAATTTGACTTTTAAATGTTTATCTGATTATAAATAATATATGTAAAAGAGAGACAGAAAATACAAAAGGAATATCCAAACTCATAAATCGATGAAAAACGGAATAAAATTAAAAGAAAAAAAACAGTGTCCATTCCAGTATAAATGTAATTTGTACATAGTCAACAAGCTAGAAGTTTTATTTCCCTGTGGGAAGTTTAAATTGAAAATTTTTGAAAGGCACTGTCCTTATAATTTTCAATACTTTTACTTTTTCTTTACACTGCTTTTACTATTTGGGCTTGTGTCTTTGATGAATTGTTATGTTTTTGTCATACCTTGCTGTAAATGTATTTGACTTTTTTTTCAGCAATGTAAACTACACAAACTAGAGCAAGGTCCTGCTACTACAGTCACCTGTACCAGGGAGGATGCATTAAAATACTACAGACAGATGCAAACCATCAGAAGAATGGAAACAACAGCAGGGAACCTGTACAAAAGTAAACAGATCAGAGGATTCTGTCATCTGTATTCTGGACAGGTTAGATTCAACAGGGAAGGCCATAAAAAGAATATGTTTGTTTGCCTTAACCCTACCTACCCAGAAAATAGCTGCCTAATCAAAATCTTTTATTATCCTGATGTGAAAAACTTTTTTATGCCCCCGCCGTAGCAGAGGGGGCATTAAGTTTTACCCTTGTCCGTCCGTCCCAAAGTTGGTTTCCGTTCTCTAACTTTAGTTTGACTCAACCAAATGTTATGAAACTTATACACAATGCTTATTACCACAAAACACAGATCAAGTTTGAAATTTGGTGATGTCACTATTACCGTTCTAGAGTTATGCCCCTTTACAAATGGAAAAATTGCTGAATTTTTTGTTTCCGTTCTCTAACTTTAGTTTGCCTTAACCAAATAATATGAAACTTGTACACAATGCTTATTACCACAAAACACAGATCAAGATTTAATTTTGGTGGCGTCACTATTACCGTTCTAGAGTTATGCCCTTAACGAATGGAAAAATTGCTGAAAATTGCTGAATTTTTCGTTTCCGTTCTGTAACTTTAGTTTGCCTTGACCAAATGTTTTGAAACGTATACACAATGCTTATTACCACAAAATACAGATCAAGTTTGAATTAAGGTGGCATCACTTTTACTGTTCTAGAGTTATGCCCCTTTACAAAAGGAAAAAATTGCTGAATTTTTCGTTTCTGTTCTCTAACTTAGGTTTGCCTCAACCAAATGTTATGAAACTTATACACAATACTTATTACTACAAAACTCAGATCAGTAACAAATGTGGGTAGCATCACTTTTACTGTTCTTCAGTTATGTCCCTTTATAACTTTATATGATTTGAAAGCAGGGGCATCATCTGTGTCCCATGGACACATTCCCCATTTATTTTTTAATCAGATAGGCATGAAGACTGACAAGCATCTGACACTTCAATTTCTCTTTGCAAAAATAAAAAAAAAAGAAAATGCCTACCTACCTACCCACTGTCTCTACCTTTGGGTAGGGTTGGGGCAAACCAAACTATTTTAAGTGTGGCCAAACCTGTACAAAAGTAAACAGATCAGAGGATTCTGTCATCTGTTTCTGGACAGGTACAATTTAACAGGGAACCTGTACAAAAGTAAATAGATCAGAGGATTCTGTCATCTGTTTCTGGACAAGTACAATTCAACAGGGAACCTGTACAAAAGTAAACAGATCAGAGGATTCTGTCATCTGTTTCTGGACAAGTACAATTCAACAGGGAACCTGTACAAAAGTAAACAGATCAGAGGATTCTGTCACCTGTTTCTGGACAAGTACAATTCAACAGTTACACCACTGTCCTAAGTCAGGAACCTGATGTTCAGTGGTTGTCATTTGTTGATGTGGTTCATAAGTGTTTCTCGTTTCTCATTTTTTATATAGATTAGACTGTTGGTTTTCCTGTTTGAATGGTTTAACACTAGTCATTTTTGGGGCCCTTAATAGCTTGCTGTTCGGTGTGAGCCAAGGCTCCATGTTGAAGGCCGTACTTTGACCTATAATAGTTTACTTTTAGAAATTGTGACTTGAATGGAGAGTTGTCTCATTGGCACTCATACCACATTTCTTATATCTAGGTATGATTCAACAGGGAACCTGTACAAAAGTGTACAGATCAGTAGATTTTGTCATCTTTTTTTTGTACAAAGTAAGCAGATCAAAATAATCTGTCTTCATCCATATTCTTGTCACTAAGAATCAAAAGGAGACATGTGCATAATGAATTTGAAATAATGAATCAGAAAATTCTTTCTCTGTCAATATCTGAATTCTTGACTGGATGTAAGATATAATAGAGTACATGAACCTGGAAAGGAAATGATAAGAAGATTCTTCACTGCAAGTAAATTTAAACATGGAATCATAAAAATAGAGAGATTAGCAGATGCTGTCACCAAAATCATATTCATATATTTGTGATTTTTGAGGTAAAGATTGCAATCAAAATCCTTCTCTGACTGGCTTGGTATCTATATCTTCCAGGGTTTATCACTACTGTTTATCATGTTTATAGTTTCAACAACATATAGTGCAGTGAAGTGAACATTCTTTACATCCTATCCAGACAACTTCATGCAATTTATTATTGATATGTTAGACATGTACTCGGATATTAAAGTTAACAAAATGATGTGTATTTGAATAACCATACTTGTCAAGAAAACTCTTGTTTTAGGAATTACATAAGTTGTGCATGGTGCATATGTATAGGTTCAAGTAACAAATGCACAATTATGAACAAAGGAAGATAACTCAAATTTAGATTTGGCTAAATGCAATAAAATGTTTGATTTAAAGTTAACATTGCAAAGTGAAAGCAATCTTTACCCTTCAGTACTCACAAGCACTTTGATTTCACCATTTTGATTGTTTTTTTTTAACACGTCTTTATTTTGTTTTCTTTTTCAAGGAAGCATGTTGTGTAGGTATGGAGAATTCCATTACACCAGACGACTCTGTAATCACAGCATACAGAGCCCATGGTTGGGCCTATATTAGAGGTATATCTGTCCATGGTGTACTGGCTGAATTAATTGGTAGGTATTCATGTCTCCTAAAAAGTTCTTACACAATTCATTGAAAATCTGTGATAATGTAACCCTATTGGAAAGTGTAGACTTTGATAATGTAACCCTATTGGAAAGTGTAGACTATGATAATGTAACCCTATTGGAAAGTGTGGACTTTGATAATGTAACCCTATTGGAAAGTGTAGACTGTGATAATGTAATCCTATTGGAAAGTGTAGACTTTGATAATGTAACCCTATTGGAAAGTGTAGACTGTGATAATGTAACCCTATTGGAAAGTGTAGACTTTGATAATGTAACCCTATTGGAAAGTGTAGACTGTGATAATGTAATCCTATTGGAAAGTGTAGACTTTGATAATGTAACCCTATTGGAAAGTGTAGACTGTGATAATGTAACCCTATTGGAAAGTGTAGACTGTGATAATATAACCCTATTGGAAAGTGTAGACTGTGATAATGTAACCCTATTGGAAAGTGTAGACTGTGATATATGAGTATTTGATAAACTGATTGTCAATTCCTTTTGAATGAATACTCAGGGATCACCATGACCTATTTAAGCATGTCGGTGTGCTACGCTGAAATTCCTTGCACCACGCTAAAATTCCCAGCGCCGCGCTCATTTTATAGTCTGCCACACTTGCAAATTCAGTAGATTGAAGTTGAATTCTGGAACTCTGTAATCCTTATTATCATGTCAGTGGCAATTAAGAAATCTAATTAGTGTTTAATGGTGTGAATACCGCCTCAGGGGATGTACATTGACAGTTGATTGCATTATTTACAGTGTCTCTCGTGGTTGAACAAGGTAACATCCAATGAAAGATCATGACCCAGTTTTGTCAAATTGAAAGTAAAAATTGTTTGCAAACTATTCTTTAAATACAAATGCTTGACTGTACCTTAAATGTCTAAATGGAATGCATATATATCCAAACTAAATTAATAAAAGCAGTATAATTCAAAAAATCAAATGAATTCCCTGACCACATGTTTTCTTTTGTTGACAACCATGTCACATGTGCACTTTTGGCGGGAAAATACTGGGAAACTCCTAAATAACAGACAACACTGTCTGGTTATTTATAGACAATTTAATAAACAGCTAAGAGTTAAACTGGGTATATATAATTCATTTAAAATAATCTACATCATTTTATTGGGAAGGGGGGATTAATTTTATTAATATGATATTGTCATTATATATAACATATGATCAGATATGCTTGAGAGACTAATTGGTTAGAATGGCTTTGATGTTTTTATACGACCGCAAAAATTAAATTTTTTGGTCGTATATTGGTATCATTTTGTCGTCGTCAGCCGAAGACAGATGGTTTCGGGATAATAACTTTAGTATAAGTAAGTAAAAATCAATAAAATTTTAACACAAGCTTTATAATCACTAAAGGAAGGTAGGGCTTGATTTTGGGGGTTATGGTCCTAACTGTTTAGGAATTAGGGGCCAAAAAAGGGGCCCAAATAAGCATTTTTGTAGTTTCCAGACAATTACTTGTGTTAAAGTGTATGAATCTCTCTGAAATTATACCACAAGTTTCCATACTACAAAGGGATGGTTAGGATTGACTTTGGGGGGTTATGGCTCAAACCATTTAGGAATTAGGGGCAAAAAAAGGGGAAAAACAAGAGTTTTTCTGGTTAAAGGACAATTGAGACAATTTAAAAGCAGTGTAAGGGAGGTAATCCAAATCAAAATCCAAATCAATTTAAATAACAATGTTTGATTACCTCCCTTACACTGATTGTAAATTATGTATTAAGAAATGATGATTGTCTGAGATACTGACCATAACTTGAGGGAAAGAATTATTTTTTGGAATAAGGGAAAGGGGGAGGTGAAAAAAATTGGAGGGGGACAATTTTTCTCATTTCAGATTTCAGAAATTAATAGAAAATTTCATCAAATATTTTTTTTTGGGGGGTTAATATCTAACAGCATAGTGTATTGCACAAACGCAAAAAATTGAATATAAATTCAAATCAAATAACCAATTTGAAGTTCTTTGACTACAGTTATTCTGTGTCAGAAACCTATTATGTGTCAGAAATTTAATTACAATCCAAATTCAGACCTGTATCAAGCGTGAATATTGTGTCCATTTTGGCCCCAACTTTTCAGGGTTGGACATCTGCGGTCGTATCCAGCTGCACTCAGCGAAGCAATTTATTTATCATTATAATTCCTTTATCATTTATCTTACCATGTGCTTTTCCAAAAGACCATTCAAATCGAATCAAAATTTGTCATGACAGAAAGCTCTTTAAAATTATAAAATTGTATAATGAATACTTTATCACATGAAAAGCAATATTTGGATTCCTCACTTATTCCTGAAATCTGGGAAGCCATATAAGTAAAGGGGAACATGTTAAAATAAGCATAAAGGACAAGGTACGATAAGGCCCGTTTTTGGCCCCCCTATTTTCTCATTTTTTAAATTTTGTTTTGGAAAGCTACTTATCACGTTAAAATATTCCCTTAGGTTTGAAGTTTGTTTGGATGAACTTGAAAACCATTAATTCCAGAAAATGGGTGAGGTGAGGGGGGTAAAAGGACATCAAAAACGCCAAAAGTAGGAAAAAATACGATTTTTGGCCATTGTTTCTTAAGATTTAATAGCGTGCGCCTATGTGACCCGGAGAAAATTATGTTGATTTAGACAGCAAAAACAATTCTCATGACATTGGAATAAAATAATTCCAGGGTCACGTTGGCGCAGGCACTAAAAAACTAAAAATTAGTTGTACGGAACACCTGCAAAGTGAATAATAATTACAATATTTGAATAATAACAGAAAGTTAACCCCCCTCACCTCACCCAGTTGCTAAAATTAGTGGTTTTGAAGTTCACCCAAACAAACTTCAAACCTCAGGGAATATTTTAACATAATAAGTAGCTTTCTAAAACAGAATTTGAAAAATGAGAAAATAGGGGGCCAAAAACAGGCCTTATCGTACCTTGTCCTTTGGCAATGTGAAAAAATAAATCCATCTTGTGGTCTATATCAAAACATGATGGTATAAACCCTTCATGATGGATTTTTTATGCCAATGGAAGGCAAATTTAGCTAGGTATCATGACATTCAAGAAAGCATTTAGCGCTAAAAGCAAAGGATATGTAGATATTGTAGATTTTATTTTTGATATAAATTGTAGCATACATTGTTTGTATCATATATTTTTATTTATTTAGGAGTTAAGTATTTTTGTTATTTTACTTTTTATTTTATTCAGGCAAAAAGACGGGATGTGCACAAGGAAAAGGAGGGTCTATGCACATGTATGCTAAGAACTTTTATGGTGGAAATGGGATTGTAGGAGCACAGGTATTTCTTAAATATTTTTTTATAGAAGTATACACACTGCACAAAGGGAAATAATCCATCTTATATTGAAAAGTTATCTCCCCTATTTAGGTTGTCTCTCTCATAAACATGCACTTACTGTTCATTTATCTATAATATTGTATTTAAGTTTTACTTTGATTGTCTTTAACATCATTAAACTCATTGTATTACATGTTAAACCAACATGGGTCCATGATTGGATAAAGAATTTCTATTTCTATTTCATGTAAAAAAAATTGCACTACACATCCTGTAGGTCAAATGGATATTCCTTCCTCTGACAATGACCAGCCAAGTTATATCCACTCAAGTTTAAATCATTAATTTCTTAGAAAAATTGTACACAAATGTCACCTGCTTATATCAATAGCATGTTCTTCTACGATCAAACAAAAGTATGAGCATTTTCTCTTCATTGGTCTCATGTGAGAGCATGTTCTCTTCATTGATCTCATGTGAGAGCATGTTCTCTTTATTGATCTCATGTGAGAGCATGTTCTCTTCATTGATCTCATGTGAGAACATTTTCTCTTCATTGATCTCATGTGGGAGAATGTTGTCTTCATTGATCTCATTGATAGAGCATGTTCTCTTCATTGATCTCATGTGAGAGCATGTTCTCTTCATTGATCTCATGTGAGAGCATGTTCTCTTCATTGATCTCATGTGAGAGCATGTTCTCTTCATTTATCTCATATGAGAGCCGTTTGGACAAGCTAGAAGATGTGCCCTTATGTTCCTACTCCCGCCATGGACAGGTACAAAAAGCAAGCTCCACCTGAGTTACACTGTAATATAGCAGAGTTATTCAAAAGTGGTGGTCCTATGGTTTTGACCACCAAAACTTGCATAGGACTGATACAATTTTGGTGTTTTGCAATAGACCATCAGATTTTCTTCAAGGACCACCATGAAAAAAAAAGATTTGGAGAACTATAGGATTTTCTATCACATCCAATATTAACCCAATATGGAGATGTAAGACCCCTACTGGCAGAGTGGGCTGCATCCTGCAGTTACTGTGTTTGTCCCTCTGCAACTTTCTTTACATATTAATCATTTAATGTATCAAGGAAGGATTTAATATTTGGTCTAGAAATTTATAATGTTGAGTTGTACTATTATAGTGATTTTCAGATATGCTTGGCAGTAACTTCCTGTTTGACATACTTTGAATTTTGATTATACTGATCTTGTTTTTTTATGAGTGGGGGTGTGCTTTGCCAGACAACTTTTTGTAAATAAACAATGGTTGACAATGCATCTTGTTTATTTAGGTTCCATTAGGAGCGGGTATAGCATTCACCCAGAAATACCTGAACAATGGTAATATCTGTATAACACTGTATGGGGATGGAGCAGCTAACCAGGGTCAAGTTTTTGAGGCATTCAACATTGCTATGTTATGGAAACTTCCATGTATATTTGTCTGTGAGAACAATGGTTATGGTATGGGTACAAGTGTAGAGCGAGCATCTTACAGTACAGATTATTATACCAGAGGAGATTATATGCCAGGGCTTAGGGTATGTCAGCTCTTTTAATGATATGTTTAATAGATGTACATATTGTATAAGTTTACAAATACTATAAATTTGGGAATATTGCATGCATTTATTATTGCAATTTTTATACGACCGCAAAAAAATTTTGGGGTCGTATATTGGTATGACGTTGGCGTTGTCGTCATCGTTGTCGTCGTCCGAAGACACATTGGTTTTCGCACTCTAACTTTAGTTTAAGTGAATGGATCTTTTTGAAATTTGACCATAAGGTTAAATACCACAAAAGGAAGGTTGGGATTGATTTTGAGGGTTATGGTACCAACAGTTAAGGAATTAGGGGCCAAAAAGGGGCCAAAAATAAGCATTTTCTAGTTTCCAGACAATAACTGTGGAACAGTGTATGGATCTCTCTGAAATTATACTACAAGTTTCCATACCACAAAGGGATGGTTAGGATTTGCTTTGGGGGGTTATGGCTCAAACCGTTTAGGAATTAGGGGCAAAAAAGGGGGAAAAACAAGGGTGTCCTGGTTAATGGACAAATACTTTAGTACAAAACATAATTTAAAGCAGTGTAAGGGAGATAAATCAAATACATCATTGAAATTATCTCCCTTACACTGCTTTTAAATTATGTATAAAGTAATGGTTAATGAACAATAAAGATAATTTAAAACAGTGTAAGGGAGGTAATCCAAATACAACGTTTTGGTTACTTCCCTTACACTGCTTTTATTGAATTAAGGACAAACATGTGAGATTTATTATTGCAATTTCCAGAAAATATGTATACAAGTGTATATATCAGATATCAGAATGCAAGTTCTTATTATTGCAATACTCACCCATTTACATTATTCATATTAATAAAAAAAAATTGCAATAATTCTGAATTTACAAAATATGTATATTTAGAAAAAAAATGAGATAGCTCTTTTTGTGGCTACGATCTTGTGAAGGAAGTTTTTGTTTTAACAATAAGTTAAGCTAAAACTTTGTAGTATATAATTAGCTATTTTATTCTTTATTCACAGGAAATTTCACAGTAATTTGCAAGCATGATTTTCTATTCTGAATAAGTGGATAAAAGAGGTAGAAGCTAATAAAGGGACAATAAAAAAAACATAATGTTATTTTGAGCACACGAACAGTCCTAAAAATAAGAGTTATAGTGACAAGTAGTTGTTTGCATCCATGTCCTTTGCTCTGGTGAATAGTTGTCTCAGTGGCAATCATGCCACATCTCCATATTTATATACCAAAAATGTATGCAAAAAAGTCGCATAAATACAGGTATCCAACACCTTCATATATTTATTTCCAGAACAGGCATGACAAGTTTATGATATATTGGACAATTCTATATTTTCAGGTAGATGGTATGGATGTATTAGCAGTGAAGGAAGCCACTAGATTTGCTAAAGATTATGTTTTGAAGAATGGTCCTCTCCTTATAGAGTGTGCTACATATAGATACTCAGGTCACAGTATGAGTGATCCAGGCACAAGGTATTAATCCTAAGATCCTTAGAGTTGGACCAAAACCACTAGTTTAATTGTCCCAATTCAAAAATAAGTGATAAAGGAAACCTATGCAAATACTAAAAAATATTAGCTAAGAGATGTTTGAATTATTTTGTAACAAATTAAAGTGACATAGAAATGAATACTTAAGTGATGAGTTTGTTTACCATTGTTTACAGCTACAGAACAAGAGAAGAGATACAGGAAGTAAGACAGACCAGGGATCCTATCACCAGTTTTAAACAGAAACTACTAGAATCAAATTTAGTAACAGAAGATGAACTCAAGGTAGGAAAATATAGTATTGAATTTTGTAACAAGTTCTTCATGATTTTTATGCCCCCGCCGTATCGGAGGGGGCATTAAGTTTTACCCTTGTCCATAAATCCGTACATTCCAAAATTAGTTTCCGTTCTCTAACTTTAGTTTGCCTCATCCAAATGTTATGTTACTTATCCACAATGCTTATTACCACAAAACACAGATCAAGTTGAATTTTGGTGGCATCACTTTTACCGTTATAGAGTTATGCCCCTTCAGAAATGGAAAAATTGCTGAATTTTTTTGTTTCCATTCTCTAACTTTAGTTTGCCACAACCAAATGTTATGAAACTTATGAGCAATGCTTATTACCACAAAACAGAGATCAGATTCGAATTTTGGTGGCATCACTTTTACGGTTCTAGAGTTATGCCCCTTTGCAAATGAAAAAAATTGCTGAATTTTTCGTTTCTGTTCTCTAACCATGCTAACTTAAGTTTGCCTAAACCAAATGTAATGAAACTTATTATGAATGCTTATTACCACAAAACTCAGATCAAGTACAAATTTGGGTAGCTTCACTTTTACCGTTCTTGAGTTATGTCTCTTTATAACGTTATATGCAAGCCGAGGCGTCATCTGTGTCCCATGGACACACTCCCCCATTTATTTATACATGAGTTGTAGTATTCCAAACAGGTAAGGTAGAAAATATTTGTTATTCTGATTTTATGGAAATTCATAACTTTAAATAATAGAATCCTTGATAAAAAAAACTCTGTTATTCTTATTAGATATACATTCATACTGTAAATAAGTGAAAAAAGTTCTGTAACCAAAAAAAATAATAATTAAGCAGATTTGATTTAACTGTTCACCAAAAAATCAAAATTTAATTATCAAGAGCTATAACTATCGTGTAAGTGTCTATAATCATATTTATTGATTGTTCAATATTTGTTTTCAATTTTTTCTAAACACTGTGATGTTTAATGCATTTTTGAATAAAAGATATATAAAGGTTTAATTATAAACCCTGGAAATTCAAAGGGGGAAAAACAGGCCTCCGCAAATTGTCACCAGTAAAACATAAGCTTTGAGTTTCCTTTACCAGTTTTAAATGTTTTGGGCCCCAACAAATATGTTGGAACAAAGGTGGTGTATTGCAATTTTAGCTGTTCCTGCTATGGTCATTGCAGTTGGCTTTTTGCTCAAGTCAAGTAAATTATGATAATTGCACTGATAAAATTGCTGTTTATAATTTTGCTCCAAAGCAGATGTTACATTACAGTTGAGTTCTCTTAGGAGGGTCTGGATGGGGTTTACAGAATAGAGAATAATGGGCTCAAAGTGCAGAATAAAGGGCTTTAAATAAAAAGGAATAGAGAAAAATAGGACAAAATAATAAAGAATAGAGAATGATGGGGTGTGGAAATATAAAGAATAGAAAAAAATTGCCCTAAAATTTAAAGGTTTATCTGTTCCTGCTATGGTCATTGCAGTTGGCTTTTTGCTCAAGTCAAGTAAGTTATGATAATTACACTGTTTACTGTTAAATTTTATAATTTGAGTCTTTGAAGTATTTGGTATGTGAAATCCCATGCATGGAGATAAGACGACAAAGCCAATAAAATTGCTGTTTATAATTTTGCTCCAAAGCAGATGTGTCATATCAGTTGAGTTCTCTTATGAGGGTCTGGATGGGGTTTACAGAATAGAGAATAATGGGCTCAAAGTGCAGAATAAAGGGCTAAAAACTTAAAGAAATAGAGAAAAATAGGACAAAATAACAAAGAATAGAGAATGATGGGGTGCTGAAATATAAAAAATAGAGAATAATTGTCTGAAATTTTAAAGAATACAGAAATGAATAACCCGCATTATAGACCATCTCTTATCACTGAGATTTTATTTTACAGAAAATAGATCAAGATGTAAGAAAAGAAGTAACAGAATCGGAGAAGCTAGCTATAGCTGATGCTGGTCCCCCGCTGGAGGACATGTACGATCACATTTATGTCCAGCCTGACGCAGACTTTAAAGTCAGAACATGTGATCCTGTTACAATGGTGGCTTCACGATAAAAGTCCTTACAGACCATACTCAATTTGCTGTCAATTATTGTTATTTATATTATTTAAGATTACATTTTGTAGGGGTGCAATGATCTTTTTATACATATCACAAAAATTCAGGTGTTGTATGTTAAGTTATTTCTTTGGTGATTGTCTAGCTACTAAAGAAGGTCATACATGCAATATCTGTTTAATGATAGGCAAAATATTTTTGTAAATTTTTATGAAGTTCCATATCTGGACATAAACAAAGGTAGTTTTATAAAGTTATTGGATGTTTAAACACTGTATTTGACTATTTCACTCACAAATTTTATATTCAGTTAATTGGTTTTCATATTTGAGACTAAAATGTATTGTTGCACCCCTAAGAATTTGTGATACAATCAACAGATATTAAGAACTAATGAAGTCTTAAAAATATATTTAAGAAAAGAAATATACTTGTAACAAAAGTATTTTTTGACTAAGATAGACTTTGAATGCTGGAATTTCTTTTAATTAAGCAGTTAACTGAACTATGAAAAACAAAGCATCTAAGGTCAGACATGAACCATAAATATCTGTTCATTCCAATTTGAATCTCAATCAGCCAAATAATTTTTTTTTCAGTGTACATTTTTTTAGTTGTAATAGTGAAATACATTTAAATTGACAGCTTCTCTCTGTACATGTATAACAAAACATTACTAATTTCAAAAAAGAGAATATTTATGATATTCAAGAAGGTAAAAGATAAATTTTTTCCTTCCCATTTGTCAGATCTTTTTTCATTTTTTAAAATCTAAATGATATAAAACAGGAATGGTTCCACTGAATAAGTTTTATTTAATGAGTTATTAATGTTATGTTGATATATTTACTTCGTAAATTTGTCAATTCTGCGGAGATTAAACTGAAAAAAACTATTAGCAGCTGATTAAAATAATAAATAAATATATCTTCTCAGGTCCTTATTCATCTACTCAAAACTTGCCTAATGGATAATTTTATTTTGAAAAAAAAATCAGCAAAGTTTGAGAATTTTTACTTGTAATAATTGTATACAGTATACTTTGTGGAAAATTGGAAAAAAAAACAGTACATCCATGATTCATATGAAATTTAAAGAGCTTCTGAGAAGCTTCAGTTGTTATATAGCTGTTATATTTGTGATGAAGTATTGCATGAGTCATACATTTTATGTACAATTGAGTTTATTTTTATTTGAATATGCAATAAAATTAAAACTAAATTTTTTTTTATTATTTACTTTATTTGGATACCAATCCTTTTAAAAATGTTGTCAATTGTTCTTTTGTTAAACATTCCTGAAATTGTGATATTCTCTAAAAATTATGATCCCAAACAAAATCAAGCATTGCTGGTCACTCAAAAAAAGAAAAGGAGAAGGTCAGGTAAGGGCTAATTTTGGCCCTAAATTTGAAGTACATCTGATGAAAGATTTTGACATTTTTTACCAACACTTAAATGTGTCTACTTCAGTCAATTCAATTAGTTTATGTAAAATATATGAACTGATTTGGTCATTAAAGACACTGAAACTCAAGTAGTTATCAACACACAGTATTTAGGAGTAAGAGCAAAGACTGGTCAGCTCGTAGTCAGAATAATGTGTTCAGAAAGGATGACATGTCTTCCTGCAGACTGTTTGTTACCTTGTGAACTAGCACGTTATAAATCCAGCTCAGCATGTGGGTCCAGTATAAAGCAGTGTTTATATTCATATCACATTATTATGATCTCGTCCTGAATATACATTTGATTAGCTGCTTCAATTTAAACAGCCATCCATCATCATCATATGATTAATTCAGATAGTATCAAGCTTGAATATTGTGTCCAAATTTGTCCCAACTGTTCAGGGTTCGACCACTGCGGTCGTATCAGGCTGCGCTCAGTGAAGCATTTTATTAAGGTGTGTATAGTAATTCGACAAAACCAGAGGATCCTAAAAGGTCTCAATAAAACAGAAATTATAGAACGGGGAGTTTTCAGATCCTTGTAAGCAAAGCTTGGACACAGGATCTTATTTTAATCAAATTGATGAGATATTTAACTTTTGATTTTTAGGCAGTTAAGCTGCCTTATGCTAGCACCCTATATTTGTGTTCTTCCTAACGAATGCTGAAAAAGGTGCCATTGTTGTAATCTAGCAGGCTAATATGTTATTTATAACTAATTGGACATTTTTTTTCATTCTTTTAATTCTGGAATACAAAAAATATGACCAGAATAACCTTAAATGATCGTCGAACGACGCATAATATTTGAAGTTGCACATAGGAAATAGTGCTCAATAGAAATCCGTACGTAGTTTGTTATCCCCTGTGCTTTTGGCTAAGATGGCAAAGAACAATTGTATGAAATATTTCATCGCCGAAAATCTGTAATTACAAGTCGTTTATATTTCCCAAATGGCAAAAATGCGCAGGAATATTGTTCATGTACACCAAATCTCTATGATAGAGGGAATAAAGTTATATATAGTACACATGTAGTCGAAGTTGGCGGTAATTTTAACTTACACGAAACGTAAGTTCGTTTGATTCTGATGATATAAAGTCCGATTAAGCGAAAGTACTCTTAATCATGATATTCTTTTAGTTTAAGAAGATTGTGATTATTTAATTTATTTCAATTAAATGTATGCACATTTAAATTCCTTTCTTTTATTAAATTATTCCGTTTATCACTGAACTTGTTGTTATTTTATGAATGAAAAACCGGAAATCGACGTAAGCAATGTCGACCAATCAGGTCGATGTTTTAAGAAATGCGGAATAACTCGTCCCAGAGACAAGTCGGACCGAGTCCACTCGGACCGTCTAAGAAAACAACTCGGACCCCTTGTCAGATTAACTTAAGGTTTCATAAAATGTAAGACTAACATGTCTAGCGGAGCCATCAATCTTTCGTTTGTGCATTGGGAACTATTTAGGGGTATTTTGAGGGGCCTAAAGAAGGGAGGGGTTTACTGTAGAACCCTATGGGATTTTATTTTCAAATGACTATTTATACTCGAAAACAGTAAGTGATAGACACGCGTGGTCTTCAGTAATGAGAACAGGACAATGAAACAAATCAAATAAAATATAGGGTGAGTCCCTGGGGGTCATCCAACCCCCCTTCAATTTGAAAATGTTCTTTTATCTTGTAAACGGTCGCGATCCCCACCCCTAAACCATATATATACTTGTATGGGACAATAAAACAAATCAAATGAAAATTTGGGGGAATCCCTGGCATCACCCCACCCCCTTCTGTTTCAGAACTTGTAAACGGTCGATATCCCCACCCCCAAACCATATATATTCATGTATGGGACAATATAACAAATTAAATGAAATATAGGGGGAGTCCCTGGGGTCGTCCCACCCCCTCCTGTTTGAGAACTTGGAAACGGTCGAGATCCCCACCCCTAAACCATATATATTAATGTATGGGACAATATAACAAATCAAATGAAATATAGGGGGAGTCCCTGGGGTCACCCCACCACCTATTGTTTGAGAACTTGTAAACGGTTGAAAACCCCACTCCTAAACCATATATATTCATGTATGGGACAATATAACAAATCAAATGAAATATAGGGGGAGTCCGTGGGGTCAACCCCCCCTCCTGTTTGAGAACTTGTAAACGGTCCCCACTCCTAAACCATATTTATTCCTGTTTGTCATTTCAAAATAATTTGAATGATATACAGGGTCAATCTCCTAGGCGTCACATTATGTGACATATGCATATCACTTTACTAGACCAAACCAATGTGTACTGGACTTTGTCCAATGTCAGGCGACCATGGGAATGACGAATTATGGGAGCTTTGTTTGGGAGACTTCGTAACAGCATCCTGTTACAATTATTTCTTGTTTATTATAAAATTTTATTGATGCAAAAAATGAGTCTAGGTAAATTGAATTTACTTTAATTATTTTTTGAATTATTTCTGGGCCTATAAAAATTTTCATTTATGGCTCATTTTAAAGATAACATATAAATCTTTCAAGCAGTGTAAAGCCCAAGAATGTTTGACCAATTGTTTTATTTGACCGGAGAACCTGAGATCACCCCCAGTTTTTGGTGGGGTTCGTGTTGCCTAGTCTTCAGTTTTCTATGTTGTGTCATCTGTACTATTATTTGTCTGTTTGTCTTTTTATTTTTGGCCATGGCGTTGTCAGTTTGTTTTCGATCTATGAGTTTGACTGTCCCTCTGGTATCTTTCGTCCCTCTTTTATAATCACTTGTCATTTTATTCCAAACTTGGTATGGAGTGATATCACGGACTTGGGGTGAAGGTGGGGGTCATTTACATTTACTATGGTCAGGGCAGTCAGACCTCACCTTTGATCCCTGTAGTAGTAAACATTTGTCTGATTTGTGTCTCATAACTTTTGTACTGTAGAACCCAAACACAGTGTTCCTTCCAGGGAAGCAAGTCCATTCATACAATTACGTCAACTTGTACCACTAAAAGTCAACTGGTACCAACGTTAACTACCAACTAGAACACCTGCAATCATTGCGAACTTGTACCACTGCAGACTCACCATTAAAAATATACATTGATATATGCGTTGCTTTAGAAAACCTTGATAAAATATTAATTAATTTGCCTTAATAATCAATTCATTAAATAAACATAAATGTACAATATACGAATGTTTAATGTTTGTTCTTTCAAATCTGAAAAAAAAATTTGAAGCAACACTGCCACAGTTTTCATAATTACGTTTGCCTTGGTTTTTGGTTAACTGCCTGCAGCGCTTACAGTGCTTTGATTTAACAAGTAGCCACACTGTCTTTATTGGATAAAGTTTGTGATTATGAAGCAAGACCAGTATGACTAATGTGTTTAGATAGAATCAGCCTAACGATATCCATGTTATTTTAAGTGAAGGATCATGTTAGCTCATTTTAGATTTAAAGGCAAATTGAAGCAACATTTGTCTCTTGACACAAGACGTCGTCTGTCAGCAGACTTTTTCTTAAAAAAATCTTTGATGGAACAACTGTAATGATCTGTAATAGTCATAATCATCCGTTTGGTGTCTAGTTGCCCAGATGATGCGTCTGTCCAACTAACTTTGTTACAATAATTAACATTTAAATGAAGCAATAAAAATTGTACTCAATATTTCCACTAAAATATTCAGTTCCTATTTTTATTTTGTAGCTGTTATTACAAATAGTTACTGGTTGCTAAAGTACATATAATATAGTTAGGTTTGAAAAATGTTATGAAAAAACAGTTTTCTCTTTCGTTAACAATCTAAAATAAGTTATGTAATATTTGAAAATTCCTATTAGAGCATTTTTGTGAATGAGGTAATAAACACATTAAAAAAAATGTCCTTTAATACTATTGGAGATTGTCCCATTATCGCCCGTCACCATATAAATATAGGAACACCTGCCTATTTTCTGAATGTTTTTTTAAACTAAAAGTTTACTTTATTTTGTGAGCTAAAACTTCAGATAATTGCAAGTTACATATATACTAGGGACGACCAATATATATTGGTATATTACAATTGGAGAGATACCTTTTTGAAGACAGAATGCTGCCCCCTAGATGTTTGTTGGTTATTTTTGCCGTTGGGTTGTTGTTTCATTGAAGCATGTACAATAATAATTGAATTTTTGATTCATTGTTACAGTATTCAATGATACTGTATTTTGAAAATACAATTAGAAAGGTCACTGTCGGATTTTATTTCCTAAAAGGGGATTCTAAAGGGAACTTTAAAAAGTTGCAATGCACAGGTTTCTTTTTAAAACCTAATAAAACATTCAGCTAGCCTATGTGGTATTGTTGTATCCACTGACTACATGGCAGTTAGAACTTAGAGTTGGCCGGCTCAGATTTAAGATTTAGATAATTTGGCCTTGTGGATAGACTTGTCTACCTGTAGACTCATTGTCGCCTTGTGTGTTTAAAATCTGGCTTGGCGTGTCGTTCATATCAGAGGTCTCATTCACACTGAGAATAGACAAACTTGTACAGCTGTCAATGTTAAAGGTATGTCTGGGCCTATATATACCAAATCTATCTATATATGCTTTGTGTGTTTTCACAAATTTTAATACTATTTGGGGATTTTAATATTTGTTTTTGCTCGAGTCTGCTAATTGTAGAGATGACACAACGCCACTTTAGCTCGAAAGTTAATGAATTGTTTGTCATACAAAAACACTGTTGTAAATCATTTCCCACTATACTTAAAGCTTCTCGTTATGACTACGACGTTACCGCCTATTATAGCTGTGTATATCGATGTAATGGAGAATTTGTTTTATTTTTTCGCTGTTCTGTGTGTTATTTATTAAAGCACAAACACTTTATGTGATACTTTGCATTTCTAGTATAATGATTGACGTATTTTTGAAAATGTTCCTGCTGCAAAATTAATTCAAACATATAGTCCATCTTTTCTTTTCTGTAACTACTAGACATACAATTCTAAGCAAAGATGTATTCTCTTAAATAAAAATGAAATATCTTCTTTTTTCTCGCATCTTCTTATACAGGTGGTGTTTACCTTCTGTCAGAATATTCTTGTTTTCATACCAACAATTCCTCTCAAAAAGATAGGGGAGGGATATGTTACCAACAATTCCTCTCAACAAGATAGGGGAGGGATATGTTACCAACAATTCCTCTCAACAAGATAGGGGAGGGATATGTTCATCGCATAAATTGGTCAAAAGTTTGTGTGAATTAACATTTTGTGTTTTAATATAATTCCTTTATTCCTATATCGTTGAATAGTTAAATAAAGAGAAAATGTTTGTGTGTTTTTAAAGGGGCATTACTTACGAAGTTGACAAAATTCATAATACGACTCTTGTTTTGTTTCAAACAGGTAACACGATGATTTTTGTATTATTTTAATCTATGACATGAAACCGAACAGACCTAGAAAAATCGAAGCACGTGCTTGCCTGCGATGTTATATTTATATTTATAAAATTGAGAATAGAAATGGGGAATATGTCAAAGAGATAACAACCCGACCAAAGAGCAGACAACAGCCGACGGCCACCAATGGGTCTTCAACGCAGCGAGAAAATCCCGCACTCGGAGGTGGTCCTCAGCTGGCCCCTAAATAAAATTGTGTACTAGTTCAGTGAAAATGGACGTCACACTAAACTCCAAAACATATACATGAACTAAAATCAAAAAACATACAAGACTAACAAAAGCCAGAGGCTCCTGACTTGGGACAGGCGCAAAAATGCGGCGGGGTTAAACATGTTTTGTGAGATCGCAACCCTCCCCCTATACCTCTAGCCAATGTAGAATAAAGAAACAAATAGCAATACGCACAGTAAAAATTCAGTTTAAAAGAAGTCCGAGTCCGATGTGAGAATAGGTAAAACAAAAGAAACTAAGCATAATGACAACGATACATAAATGAACAAAGGATCGATCTACTAGCAGTTACTGACATGCCAGTTCCAGACCTCAATTAAACTGATTAAAGATTATGTCTTCATCATATGAAAATCAAGTACAATCTCTCCCGTTAGGGGTTTAGTATCATACCATCATAAAATATATGAGAAGAACATAACCGTTACATGCCAACAAGTGGTTTTATAATAAATGTGTTTATTTCCGATGCAAAGACCCTATGAGTGAATCAATATTAATACCAAAATATGCAATCCTTAATGACTTGACAACAGTATCGTAACTATATCCTTTTCGAATAAGTCTGTTTAAAGGTTTGGTTAGCTTTTTAGGTGAATGCCGACATTTTTGGTGCTTTGTAAAGAATATTACCATAAAATATTGGATGTGAAATACCTGAACGTATAAGATGTCTGCATGTTGATTTATATTTACGAATGATGTCCTTGTACCGATGATAAAATTTAGTAAATGTTTTGACTAGTTTGTGATATCGGAAACCCTGGTGTAATAATTTTTCAGTAATACAGAGATTTCTTTCATTGAAATCAAATACGTTGTCACATACACGAGCGAATCGAACAAGTTGAGATAGATAAACACCATAAGATGGCGATAAGAGAACGTCACCATCTAAGAATGGATAATTAACAATAGGAAATGAAAAATTATCTCTTTTATCATAAATTTTGGTATTAAGCTTCCCGTTAAAGATAAAGATATCAAGATCCAGGAAAGGGCAGTGTTCATTGTTAGTAATAGCATTATTTAAAGTCAGTTCGGCAGGATAAGTGTACATACTGAAGTCGTCATTATTGAGAGCCAATATATCATCTAAATATCTAAAAGTGTTATTAAATTTTTGAATCAGATGTTGTTTCGATGGGTCTTTGCTGATTTTAGTCATAAACTGTAACTCAACAATACAGAAACATGTCCGCAATAAGTGGTGCACAGTTAGTCCCCATGGGAATTCCGATAACCTGACGATATACGAAATCTCCATAGCGAACAAAAATGTTATCTAGTAAAAATTCAAGGGCAGTTATAGTATCAAAGCAGGTCTACTTTACATAGTTCTGTTATGTTTACATCAGTTTCCATGACATACAGGATTCTTCGGAGATCATCCCGATGGTTTTGAAATTATATGGCGTCTATTCTAAAATACGCACGAAATATTTCGAAGAGTTTCCTGTAGCTTAATACTTTATTCAGAGATTACAAACATTTGTCTCTTACATTTACCATTTTTACGGATGTTTTCCTCGTGGTGTTGAACTATCTTGAAAGATGTCAAATATTATTTGAAAAGGACAACATTTTATGATAAGATAACAAAAATCATATTAAAAATTTGTAGAAATATTTTACAACTCATACTCTCAACGGACTGTAGCCTACTCGATCATCGAACTTTTCTATCGTGTAATCAAAATTAACAAACATAGATTATCGGACCAAGTCCTCGAATAACCGCGACGCACTTGGCATTCTCCATTTGACTTATGATTTTTGTTGTCATGTTTGTTAAGTTGAAATACTGTTAGACTATGTTTTCTTCAAAATAAAATCTAATAGGTATTATTTTTATTATAGACCAAACTTCTGAAATCAACAGTCAGATTTCGTTTCTATATAATATATTATATACATTACGAAAAAGAATAGATGGATTTATAAGCATTTTTTCGGCATATATATAGAAGCAAACCAGTTAACCGACTATATACCAGTAGTCACTTCTCGAATAAACAAGACTCAGTGTAGCGATAAGTGAAGACAACAGGGGTCCAGTTTACCTGTTTACTGGGTACCCGTCACTGTTTTGAATGTTAGTATTGATTTGTTATCTGAGCCTCGATAACAAATCTATCATCTATAGTATGGAATAAAAACTCGTCTTATATTGTGATACAGGTTTGGAGCATACCAAGTACATCTTCAAATGGCAACTTCAAAGGCGGATGTAATAGATTTAACGACTTGTCCGATTTGTTTAGAAATTTTAATGAAACCGAAATATTTACCGTGTTTACACACGTTCTGTGAGAAGTGTATTGGGGCTTATCTTACTTCCGCATTTGAACAAGGTAAAAATCAAAGTGCTGAATGTCCTATATGTAGGTCGGTTATACAGATCCATGAATCAGGACTTTCGGCAAACGAGTGGGCAAACCGTTTGCCCGATAATTTTCTTTTAATTAGTCTTATCGACAGCGTCAATCTGAAAAATGCTGGAAAAGTTTGCACGTCTTGTGAAAGAATGGACGAGAAGACTGAAGCAAAATTCGCGTGTACCGACTGTTCGGACACTCTTTGCCAAAATTGTTATCGTTATCACAAACATCATAAAATATTTGAAAACCACGAAGTAATTCCGATAGAAAAATTTACAAGCGCATTTGAGTTTCCCGTTAAATTTCAAAGCAGTTGTTCAAAACATAAAAATGAGAAACTTAAATTGTATTGTTCAGATCATGTGATTCCTTGCTGTTCCGTTTGTGTTTCCGTTGAACATCGAAAATGCGAAAATGTCTGTACAATTGAGGATGCGGCACTTATTTATCACGACTCCAATACTGTTAAAAACCTGCAAAACATACTGACATCAATGGCAGGCGATGTAAACAACATCCTTTCAAATACCAGCGATGGAATTACAACACTGAATTCTCAGAGTAAAGATGCTTTCCAAAAAGTTGAAAGTCTTAAGGAGATTTTAGATCAAAAAGTGAAAACGGTCACCGATAGACTGAAAAGTGAATTAACGAAAGAATTTGATAACGAAACAAAAAGGTTAGAGGAAAGAAAAACGATTTTTGGAAATGTTAAGAAACAACTTGACAACGAAATAAAGGTACTGGAAACATGCATTGAAAAGGCGTCTGATGTCCAGGTTATGATTGAAACTGGAAAATTAAAGGGGAGATTACTTGAACATAAGAAACATTTCGAAGTGCAACCGTTTGATCATTATGTTAAAGTAGACGTCAACATCGATCATTCTTTGGACGAGAGTTTTAAAAAGATTGATGGAGCATGTCGTGTAACCAATGTTGTAGCACCAGACACTAACATGCAGTTGGCACACAGACAGTTTTCTGCTTGTTTAAAACTTATAAAATCTATAGCTAAATACGAGAAATCTCATTATGAAGCTTGTTTCATGAACAACAATAAAATAATAGTATCGTGTTGCGGAGAGATGTCTTTGGAAATCTTTGATGTAAAGGGTAACAAAGTGAGAACACACAAACTGTCTTTCCAGCCATTCGACATTACAGAATCAGGACCCAGTGAAGTAGCAGTTCTGAACGATGGTAAACGTAAAAGCAAGGTACATTTAATAAAAATCGACTCTACCGACACTAATCAAACTCGAGTCATTCACATCAAGTCAGGTGTACAAAGCATATATTTCTGTAGGGGAAAACTTTATGCAGCAGACTCAAAGACTATTACCATTTATGATAAATCTGGGATTGCCATTCGCGAAATTAAAGACGCAATTGGAGAGAACACGTATATTCATTGCGATTATAAAGATGTACTGTACGTTTCAGACAAATCATCAATCGTTAAAAAAGCTGAAAACGGACAAGACCAATTTCGATTTACTCATCGCGACCTGAATGGCGCCCGTGGGATTACAAGCGACAACATGTCTGATAACATTTATGTTACAGGATCCGATTCAAACAATATTTTACAAATTTCAGGGGATGGTTTAAAGCACCAAGTATTGCTTGAGGAAAAAGACGGAATTTTAAATCCAAGATTCATTGACGTGAGCAAAGACGGTAAATATCTCGTTATAACGAATCAGGATGGAAAAGAACTTTTGTTGTACGAAATTTGCTTTGACATTTGACATAACTTTTGTCGCGGTCATTGTAGTCATTGTCAACAATTTTATTGTCACTGTTTTAATCGTTGTTCACTATTTTTAAACGCAAATATTGACTGGAAGAAGTATTTGTCAGTTTTTGTCGGCGTTTTCAATCGATTCTTTAAAGTGATTTTATGTAAGTTATAAATTTATTTTATAATTGAGGAACTTGTTTATCGTCGATAAGGATCATCATTCATGAAAGCGGTATGGCGAGTTATTCTGCTTCGTTTTACTCAAGACGACAGAATCCGAAAATTGCTAATAAGATTTATTGATATTCGAAAACTGATCAGTTTCAAACTATATGTATTTTAAAGATTTTTCAAGATTTTACATATATCCATAAATTCAAAATGTGGTTTGGTGTGTTAACAGCTATTGGACTTTGAAACAGTTTTCAAACAATGCTTCAAATTGTACATGTCTTTGTAAAATATATCGTGAAATGACACCATGGACATTCATAAAAAGAAAAAGAAGAATAACTCTGTATCTAAAATGTGCAGCATTCATCCTATAGAAGTAACATGTACACTACTCAAATGTCGAAATCTTTAAAAATTGTAGCTTTTTTTTTTTTTTTTTTTTATCTTGGAGCATTTATAACTTGGTTGCATATTCAAATTTCGACACAATCTAGTTCGAACGCATTCATTTTTTTAAAGTAAAGGAATCTTTTGGGATCTAGTTAAATTTCGTATTTTCGTTACAAAAGTTTATCGCAACCTTGATAAGCAGTCAACACATAGTCATGGAGCACGTGAAAAAAGTGAGTGATAAAGTGATAAAGCGGTTTTATTTCTTTTATATATTTCCATTTGTGACCTAAGCTTTGTCATAACAGTTGTTAAATGATTTGATGTATTATTTTATTTTTAACGAAGAATAAATTAAAACTATCTACGTTTGTTTTTCCTTTTCTTTCATCGCGGGTTTTCCATAGAATTTACGCTGTGCGGTTGTCAAAGTTCTTACGAGAGGTTTCATGGTTAAGGTCACTACATACGCAATAGCTATCGCAGAGTTATAGTTATGAAAGACAATCATTAAATAGCAGTTTGATTTTGATAAGATAGTGTTTTTCTTTAAAAAAAATCAATGTTCACCTGTTTTATAATAAATCTTAGCCATTCAAGAATATACAACATATTCAATTTTTGTTTTTGAATTTGAAGTATTATATGACTTCTTAAGGCATCAGGTATGGACCCTTGGTATATGATAATCATAAATCTGGCTATCTTCCGTAAGGAAGAAATCTCTGTTATCGGAAAGTAAAATGGCAAACAATGACATCGTATTTAAATCAGATTCCTAAATGGATAAAAACAAAACAACAAAGACTATACAGGAAAATGACTTCTTTATAAAAAATAAGAAAATGTGGTATGATTGTCAATGAGACAAATATCCGCAAGAGACTAAATGACACAGAGAGTAAGCTATTTTTGAGAGAGACTCAAAAATGCGCAAAACCCATACCGCATAGTCAGCTATAAACGGCCCCGAAATGACAAATGTAAAACAATTCAAACGAGAAAACTAACTGATGTAATTTATGTACAAAATAATGAACAAAACAAAATAAAAAAGTAATAAACAAAATTTTAAAAAATAATGAACAAAAACAAATATGATACACAGAAACAAACGACAACCACTAAATTATATGCTACTGATTTGGGACAGGCATACACATAATGTGGCGGGTTTAAACATGTTAGCGGGCGCCCAACTCTCCCCCTCAACCCTCTTTGTTCGTCGTTTAGTTAGTAGATTCTTCGTCATTGAATGTCAAAACATTCTACCTTGTACTATCAAAATAAAGAGATGTGATTTAATTGCCAATGAGACAACTATTCACTGACGGACAAGTACTTGAACAACTATTGCATACACTACGACCTTTACCATATTCAATGATGAGAAAAGTTCATATTTTGGATTTTCAAATACTTTGGCTTCGAGCATCACTGAAAAGACTTTAATTGTCAAAATGCACATCTTGTGTATTGAAATTAGATCCGCTTTTGTTGTTACCCATACCGTATAGTATTATTAAAAATCTGAATAAAATTCTTAAACCCGAAATGAAAAAATGAGAAAAAAATAACGCCTTTCTCAAACTTAAACAATTAACGAAAAACTATTGTCAAAGTGGCAGATAGCAACCAACGACAACCGGTGGCTTGCATGCAGGTTCCTGTTTTGGACAGGCACATTAAGAATGTGGCGGATTTAACAATTTTTTTTATAAACGCCCAACCCTCCCTCTATCTGGGAATGATGTAACAGCATAACATGTTTGTAACAGACTATTATTTCAATTTTTAGTATCATGTGGAGTGTATTATAGATTGTTGTTTGTTCTTTTCGTCTGTTTTCCTAATATGATGGTGTTTGTCTTTCTCCAACTGCGTCCTTCCGGCTTTTGCTTGTTTCGGACAATGTTAACATCTTTTTTTTAAATAGTAAATTAGTCGTTAGCTATATTGTCTGGTTAAATGCAAGTTTGATGTCTTTTTTTTCTGTAAAAATTCGGCCACACTCATCGACCAAGTTTAATTTGTTATAAAAGTACATATATTATTGCGATACATAGCCTTGTAAATCATTATAATTGTGGTCCTTGTATGTGACCAGTGTCGTCTGAATTACAAGTTAACATTTAAACATCCGCCAAAAATATGATTTTTATAATTTTCATGTTGTAATCTTTAGTCCCCTACCGACGAAGTCGAAGGGGACTTCAGGTTTGCACTCCGTCTGTCTGTCTGGCTGTCCATCCGTCAGTCCGGCAAATCAGGTTTCCACACTCTTTTCTTCGTGCTTGAAGATACTGAATTGATATTTGATGTATTATTTTATCATGACAAGTTACAGATCAAGTTCGAATTTTGTTCTGGTCTGATGATTTTGTACAAAGTTATGGTCCTTGGACTTAGAAAATTCACTCAAATAATTAGTTTTCCGCACTTTTTTTCGTCATGTTTGAAGATATTGATTTAATGATTAGTATGAAGATTTATTATGACAAGTTACAGATCGAGTTCGAATTTTGTTCCGGTTTGATGATTTCGTGCAGAGTTATATGGTCCTTTGACTTAAAAAAATCACTTAAATAATCAGTTTTCCACACTTTTTTTCATCATGCTTGAAGATATTGACTTGATATTTGTTATAAAATTTACACCATGACAAGTTATAGATCAAGTTGGCATTTTGTTCCAGCACAGTGAATTTGTAACCGGTAGTGGACTATGTATTGTCATGCAATACTCTCACAATGCTTGTTCATTCTAAAGTCACCAAACACGAAGCTAGTTATGACAAGCATGGCACATACTGCTGTAATTTGAAATAATACATGTGTAATAAGTTCAAAATTCGCGAGTTTTACTGGTGGAGGAAGCCTGAGTACTCCACGGAGGGAATCACTGACCTTGGCAGAAAATTTTCAAAAAAGTACAAGTGTGGTTTTTTTTGTTGCTTTTTATACTATAGGTATATGATGTTAAACTGTTTGCCTTCAAAATGTCGGGCTATAAATGTGCATTACTTAATAAATAAATTTATCATCATGACCATATAATGAATTCACAATCGTTTTAAGTCTTATGATAGTATCTGATTCAACTTTTTAACCAGATTTGTAACTGCATTAATATGCATGATTCAACCTTGATCAAATAAGTATGGATAAAGTCATCGTACACTTTATCGTCTGTAAATTATTTGTGTATAAACTAAATTAACAATTACTATCCACACTGATCTGTGTCCACACTTGTTTATAAATAAAAATTGTTATAAAGGAAAGTGCAGTAATTCTGTTTAATCCTTAAAAAACGTGGCGGCAGAAAATTTGGGAAGATAAAAAAAAACAAATTTTTTTTACAAACATGAAGATTCAAAACCTTGGTTTAATGGAAAATGCTCGATGAGTAGAAACAAATTTCATAAAGCTCGAAAGAGATATAGTTCTTTGAAAAATGCTGAAAAACAGACGCAAAATGAGACTAGCTAGTAAAGAACATAAAGTAACATTAAATAAGGCTTTTACAAACTATCAACAGAGGGCTGCTGATGAGTTGCGTAACATTTCTAAAAAGGATACAAAAGGCTCTATGGAAAATCCTTAATAATCTAAATAGTAGTGAAAAAAAAGATAACAATGACGATATATCTCTAAAAGCGTTGTATGATCATTTTAAATTCCTAAATGAAAATGTCGAACCCGCAATTGACTTCGAACACGATTTTGACTTTGATACTATTACAGACGATGTTGAGTTATTTTCAAATAGTCCAGTAACCGTAGAAGAAATTAAAAAGGTGGTTTCGAATTTAAAAACAGCAAACTTTAGCTTCAGGTAGTGATGTAATTTTAAATGAATATATAAGGAATACAATTGACGATTTAATGCCAATTTACGTTATATAAGCTATTCAGTTTGATTTTTGATACTGGAATTGTCCAATTACTATATTAAAAAATAAAGGATCAAGATCCGATCCCGAAATGTACGGAGGAATCACATTAAATTCATGCTTTAGTAAAACTTTTTCTGCCATGTTGAATTACAGGTTAAATAATCATGCAGATCACGTAGACCTGATTTCAAAGTCACAAGCAGGTTTTCGTAGAGGATTCTCTACTGTTGATAATATATTCGTATTTTATTCTTTAATTACCATTTATCTATCATTTGGTAAGAAGCTATTTTGCACTTTTATAGACTTCAAAAGCGCTTTTAAAACTGAATTTTTCATATATCGCACAGGAGTCACACAAGGTGAAAATTTATCACCTTTTTTATTTTCTTTGTTCCTAAATGATTTAGAAAATTATTTTGTTTAAAATAATATAGAAAGTCTAGATTATATTTCAAATCTGTGCTTGGAGTCATTACAAATGTATGTTAAATTGTTTATCATACTGTACGTAGATGATACTGCGCTATTGCCTGAAAGTGCAGAAGGATTATCCCTTGTTTGTTTTGAAGAATACTGTAAGAAATGGAAACTAAAGATTAACACAAACAAAACTAAAGAAGTGATTTTTAGTAAGAAGAAATTAAAAAAAAATCAGAATTTTATGATATATGGAGAAAGCATTGAAAAGGTTGATTCTTACTGCTACCTTGGTATATTTTTCAATTGCAACGGTAGCTTTTGTACTGCACGAAAAAATCTTCTTGATCAGGCATAGAAGTCTTTGTATGCTCTGTACCGAAAAATAGAAAATATATGTATTCCCGTCGATTTGCAGCTTAAAGTTTTTGACTCATTAGTTAGTCCTGTATTATTATATGCTTCAGAGGTATGGGGATTTGAAAGTAAAGATAGCATTGAGAAATACAACTTCAATTTTGCAAACATATTTTGAAATTAAGAAGCAGTACACCAAATTGTATGTTGTACGGGGAACTCGGAAGATTCCTTTTGGAAACTATTGTTAAACGTACAATGGTGTTGTTTTGGAATAGTTTACTATTGGAGAACAACAAGTTATCTTCCATTATGTATAAATTAATGCTAAAATTACATTTTCAGTATCCCACAAAATTTAAATGGATTAC